GCTGTTCCAATAATTGCTTAAATTAGCGGTTCAAAGTATGCATGAGTCCTTCCCTATAAGTATGCTAAAAATGACTTGCAAATAGGGTAATATTAACAACAAATAAATAATATTAGATACAAGTAGGAAAATTTTTGACATTAACAGAATAAAGTACTTAGTATAAGAAAGGGGGTTATGAAATGCATAGAATAACCAGAATGCCAAGGTGTACCTCGTAGATAATTAGGAGTTATAAACTTGTTGTTAAAGTCAATTTCTCCTTTCAGACACCACTCTTCTTCAGCTACACCTTAGGTACATAATCCCATTTTCCTGCCCTTTATCTAATTCATGTTTGTGTACCAAACTAGAGCTATGTTTAACTTGTTACTAAAGTTTCCTTTTTTTGTTTTTTGTTTTTTTTTTCAATAAAGACCTAGTTTTACTTGCACATTTTTCACAAGCATCAAATAGTGGGTGATCTTTCAAGCTTGAACAGTAACAGTTGTATCGCTGAGGAAGGACTTCTTGTTTCAGATGGTCTAGATAATGATTTACAGCTATTTTTGGTAATTCTCAAAATGACAGCTCCTTGAATTTTTCTGTGTGCAGAAAAATTTGCTGGGCTGGCATTTTTCAGACCCTGGGAGGTTCATCCCAATTCTCAGCATGTGGGAGCAAGGGAATGCTCTGAAATCTTTACTCCAGAGGGAACTGACCTGTCCCCATTTTCTTGTGATACATGTGAATGTTTGATGAGGTTTCCCTAGATGTCTGTGGCCTCCTGAGGCCTGGAATTTGTGGGCCAGGGTTAACCTAGGAGCTGGGTGAAATTACTTATAGGCCTTGGGCATTCCAAGACCAAACCTGATAAATTGACCTATAATGATAGTTTAGTTCCTCTAAAGAAAATGAACAATACTTCACAACATCTATCTTTATACAGTACTCAATAAATGGTTGTTTAAAAGGAGAAAGGATGCTAAAAGGCAATAAAATAAGAATTAACAGCATTTTAAATTTTTGAGCATTATCAGAAAATACATGTGAGTGCCATGGGCTGTTGGAAACCATAAACTGAGGTAAAAAAACAAACCCATAAACTGGTGTGTGTATATATATATATATATACATCTTTACTATATATACATATATATATAGTAAAGAAATAGTAAAAGAGGAAGTAGAAGAAAGAACACAAGAGACAAGATAGGAATGAGGTAGAAAGAAGGTTTTTTTAGAAAGAAGGTAAGAAAGTGTATTTAATATACCTTTTAATCATTTCCTTATTCAAAGATCTTCAGTGGATCTTCAGTACCTACAGGGTAAATTCCAGCATCCTAAGCTGATATTTAATGTGTTCCATGATCTATTTAGAGCTCACCTCCCCAACACATGCCCTCTTTATTTATGGATTTTTCCCAGAATATTCCTTTGGGTTTCTTATCTTCTTTTGTCTTTGTCCCTAAGGAAAATCCTATGTGTTCTTTAAGACACAGCCTTGAGGACTAAGAAGTTTTATACAAATAGCATTTATGAACCTTGGTCTTTACCATATTTACTTTAGACTTAGCATTTTCTAAAATGCCTCCCTCAGATAGTACTCCACATAACAGCAGTGGTGAATTAGGGGTGGCTTATTCTAGGAATTCTGACTCTAATGCCATCAAATATTTGTATCCTAGGAGTTCTGTACGTGGGTTTTTTTTTTTTTTTTACAGGTTATAGAATTTAGACAATTACAAAACTACTCTTCCCACTAATTTTCATTATGCTACCAACTTCTGCCAGTGGAAATGTGTCACACAGGTAGAACGGTGTCTTCACTTTACTAAACTCTTCAACTTTGGGAGATTTTTCTTACTCATTTTTTCCAAAGACTCTATTTTGCTAGAAATCAGCATCCAGCTTTTACTGAAAGCCTTTAGAGAATCTTCCCATGCCAAAGTTATTTGAAAAAGAGTTTCTATTTTTTCATCATGATAAGGAATGTTGAGTTTAAAAGATTTAATAAAAGCAGTAAGACTGGAGCATTTCTACCAGAATATATGAAAAATCAGATTTCCAAGAGCTGGGATAAAAAGACCACACTCTTTTTTTTTTAAGATTCTATTTATTTATTTGAGAGAGAGTCAGAGATAGCAAGAGAGAGCACAAGCTGGGAGGAGAGGGAGAAGCAGGCACCCCTCTGAGCAGGGAGCCCGACACGGGGCTTGATCCCAGGACACTGGGATCATGACCTGAGCCAAAGGTAGATGCTCAACTGACTGAGCCACACAGGCACCCCAAAAGACCACACTCTTATAGAGCAGTAAAAATTAAATTCCTGCAGATATCCAAATTCAAGTGCACATTTGTCTTTAGAACTCACCTGCATGTGTGAAGGGAGATGTATCTTACAACTCTGTGGGACTTTACATATAAACAGCTCCTAGGAGAGATAGTCACAAAGAGAAACCTAAGAAAACACTCAACACTTGGGTATTCAAGTGTATTCAAGTGTAACTCAATGCACACTTGGGTATTCCAAGACCAAAGTCAGTAAGTTGAATCTGTAACACCAGCTCAGTTCCTATAAGGAAAATTAACAAAAATTTCTGCAACATCATTGTACTCTAAGGAGCCAATCTTATCTTTAAAAAAAGTTATACTTTAATCAATCCCTAAGAACTAAAGGGACAGCTATAATTAATTTTCATTTAGTACAAAAACCTTACATTACAATATGCAGAAATGAAATTTAGCAAGATGGCCACCAAAATCATTATTTATGAAACTTTGCAGATTACAACACTTAGGCCTCATGTGGATCATTCACAAGTAGCCTGCAGTCCTCCGGGCCCTATATAATTCCTGCACTTGAATATTTTGTGAGCATAAGGTCTATAGTAGTCATATCAGACTTGGGTAATGCATGATCCAAAGTGCCTCCACCAGTGGAACCAAAGACATGTGCTAAGAGAATTGAAAGAGAAAGGGGCTTCTGGGCATGAAAACACAACTTACTCTGGTGTTAAATGAGGTCAAGGAGTAGTACATCAATGTACTGGTGTAGCTATTTCCAGATTTGTTGAACTCTAGGGATTGATTCCTTCTGATTCTGGTCACTCCAAGTACATGTCATTTCTAGTAGTTCCTTTATCATTGCAGTCAAAATATTCTGGCTGTATTGAAATAAACTTTGTTCACAGATTCTCCCTAGCCTCCTAGCACCATACCTTGGTTCATTTTGTTTCCTCTTCCTGGGAAGTCTCTTCCCTTCTGCCTGTCAGATATACCGCCCGTTTTTAAGGACTAGCTTAAAACCCAACCCCCTTCCTAAAGCCCTCCACAACTGCCAATCTCTGATGATTCCTGCATCTTTTAAATTCCAACATCCTTTTCTTTTCTTCAGTATTTATTGTCTTGTTTATCTGTAAATTTTTTCTATGTAAATCTTTTTTATCCAGCTACATTATACTATTCTTAAACACAGAAATTATGTTTTGTAATGCTTTGTGTACCAAACATTGCCCAACATACTACCTATCCTGGTAGATATACATTAAATATCTGTTGACTAGTTGATATAATCTATTACTTTCATGCCAATTTACCTGTTATGCTGTTTCTCAAAGAAAAAACAAAAAACAAAAAAACATCTCATAGATCCAAATTTGGAAACCGCATTCTGAGCTACTTTACAAAGCTTTCATTTGTACAGTCACGACATCATGTATCAATAAGTGCATGTTGGTACTGGAATTCATGGCAATCCTTAGTTATTAGGGAATATTCAAGATGGTCAAGATCTTAATTTTTAGAAACTGCTGCTAAGATTCTAAAAAAAAAATATTAAAATGCTCATAAAACTCTCAGATCCTAGAGAATTCTACTGAAGTATTCCTCCCTGTGAGAAACACTATTTTAATAAACTCGACTACTCTGAACTGTGGAATTAAAAGAAAATCATTATGGTCATTATGACAAAATATATTCAAAGCCTTAAAAATATATGTATTTTTGATTGTTCAGTTTTACTTCTGGAAAACACATTCTAAATAAATAAAGATGTACACAAATAGCTACAAGGATATTTGTTATAGAACTAAAGTATAATATGTAAAAATATTTAAAAACCTAAATAACCAAAAATAGGTGATTGGCCAAATAAATTGTACAACATACAAGGGAGCCATTAAAACGTGTGCTATACAAGAATATTTAATGAAATGGAAAGATGATATCAACATATTGTTACATGAAAAAAGAAGTTTTAAATATAATTGTATATCAGAGCACCTGGGTGGCTCAGTCAGTTAAGTGTCTGCCTTTGGCCCAGGTCATGATCCCAGGGTCCTGGGTTCAAGCCCCATGTGAGACTCCCTGCTCAGCAGAGGGTCTGCTTCTCCCTCTCCCTCTGTCACTCCCCCTGCTTGTGCTCTCTTGCTCTCTCTGTGTCAAATAAATAAATAAAATATTTAAAATATATATATATATATAATGTATGTATGTGTATAATTGTATTTTTAAAGTACTGGAAATATAAACTTCAAATGTTGATTATGATATGAAATAATCATATTTACAGATTTCCAAATTTTCTACAGTGAAAATGTAGTATTAAGGTATTAAAAATTTAAGTAAATATCTAGCCAGTACCTCAGAATTACTCATTAGGGTCACATAACTGACAGCCAAGAAAAATATATTATGTAAACTTCTTTTTTTTTAAGTAGGCTCCATGCTGGGCGTGGAGCCCAACGCAGGGTTTGAACTCACAATCCTGAGATCAAGACCCAAGTTGAGGTTAAGAGTCAGACGCTTAACTGACTGAGCTATCTAGGTGCCCCTTTTATGTAAACCTCTGAATTAATCACAGGACAAACTAAATAAAGGATCTCACATCTTGATGATTTCTTTAGGAAAGTGAATGAATGTCATATGGCTACAGCCAACCAATGAGATAAGATTGTGGGAAGAATATTACTTCCCAGCATTGTTTGTGCCTCACAGCTCTTACTTATTTTTGTTTGTAGGTCCATGGAAAGTGTATGTGTAAGCACAACACAGCAGGTACCCACTGCCAACACTGTGCACCATTATACAACGACCGCCCCTGGGAGGCAGCTGATGGCAAAACAGGATCTCCTAAAGAGTGCAGAAGTGAGTACCAAGCCCACAAGACTGAAAGCCTTCTTTGTAAACTATCGGTGGACTCCGAGTTGTCTCTAGAAACACAATATAAAGTGGTGGGGTGACAGGCACTGTAACCTACACAAATAGCCCATATCACTGCTCACTATGACCTCAACCATTGGAAGCAGTCACTGCTTGCAAAGTTGCCAATATGACTATTTTGCCAACAATGTGTTGCCCATTTTCTTGGACACTTTGCAGGACCAGGATCTAAGCACTGTTCTTGAGAAGTTGACATAATAAAAACATGGCTAGACACAAGAGCAACTGAGGATTATGGCATACAATTACCCTCGAAGCTGAGATATCGAATTATAGCATGATTGATTGAATGAGAGAAATTCAGTTCTCAAAACAACCCTGAAAGCAAGCAGGTGGTGTTAATCCCACTTTAGAGATCAGGAAATTGAGGCTCAGTAAGATTAAGTAACTTGCCAAAGTTAGTAAATAATAGTCAGGACTTGATCCCAGCTCTTCAGTCTCCAAATTAAATGTTTTTTCCGTAATACCATAGTGCCCTTCTTTTCACTTACGGTACCTGAAATGACAAATTAGATTTGAAATTAAGCCAGTTAGTCAAGAATGAGACTGCATTACTAGGGCTAACTTCGGGTTTGTGGTTGGAGATTAGATAAGAGGGTAAAAAATACGGGAATACAGACCATTTTTTTCTTCACAATTCAAAATGTTCAGAGAAATACACATGTCCATAACAATGTTTATACTCACAAACTTCAGTTTTACAAGGATTTAAAGGCAAGTACTGTCAGTAACATTGTGGGAAGTCTCCTCCCATACATAATTTGGAATCCTAATTGATTTATTTTAGTTTCTAGGAAATGTAAAGGATTTCCTCTAAGCATAAATTTTAAATTGTTTTATATTATGCTTTTTAAAGATTATGAGTCTCGTCAGAATATCATAACATGTCAAGGAAACAATGAAAAAACAATAGCACAAACACAGTTGACCTCCAGGAAAAAGTCTGGATTCTTATTCTAAATCACTCATCAAGAGAATCTAAAGAATTTCTCCTAAATTCCTAGAGTGCCATTCTGCTCTTTCCACAGACACCAACTTGTGTATCTAAATACATATAGAACACGGGGACTTGTCACTTGGTGCTATTGATAATCTTATAAATGCCTTTGAGAAATTGTTACAAAAGAAACAATGCAAACCTCTTCTACAAAAAAACAAAAAACAAAACACAAAAAACCTAGGCTTCTATAGGAGACTGTCTTGTACTCACCAGTACATCAATAGCTGAGGAATAGTGCTTCATGAAAGACAAATCAATCTACCTGCCAAGCTACTAACCCCTGTCCACTACAAGGTTCCTTCGAGGCTCATTAGAGAGCATGAATTCAGGCCTGTATCTGCAATATGAATTTTCATTTTCAAATAACGTCTGACGATGTAGAGTTTTCTAAGCACAGTCAGGGGACCCACAGTGATGACATACTGGTCCTTGGGACGCAGCAGGAATGGAAATGGTGAAGTATTACTGTCAAAAAGGGAAAAAAAGTGGGTAGCCACTCAAATAGTCTTTCCAAAATAAGTGTCAACCCCAGTTGCTAAGGAAACAGTCATATCTCTGCCTAAGAAGACAGATCTACGCTTTGCTAACCTTCAGGCATATCTTAAAACTTAATTTTTTTAAATGTGAATTTTTAAAATTTTTTAAATTAAATAAAAGCCTCCGCCTTTTTATATGCTGTTTTGATTCTTGTACTGTGAAAATGTGCACTATTTAAAAGGCTAAAAATCAAATTAAAAACTAACACTGTATGTTAATTATACTTGAATAAAAAAAATTAGCAATCAGCTTACCCTATTTTTAAGTGCCTGAATATTAGAGAACTTGTTGTTTTAAATGATTTGTTTTCCTTCCCATGCCTTTTTCCCCCTCAGCCTGCAAGTGCAATGGGCATTCGGATGCCTGTCACTTTGACATTAATGTGTGGGAGGCATCAGGTAATCGTAGTGGTGGCGTCTGCAATGACTGTCAGCACAACACAGAAGGTCAGCATTGCCAGCGATGTAAGCCAGGCTTCTACCGGGACCTCCGGAGACCCTTCTCTGCTCCAGATGCTTGCAAAAGTAAGTGAACTAGTGATTACTGGGAAAAAAAAAAAAAAAAAAGCTTGACTTGTACAAAAGAGATGAATCTTGCCATCCTTCATACGCTGGTCCATGGGAGAGAGGTCATGAAATTCTCAGACAGTACACTCACACACATACTAGTTCATTTCTTCATTGATAAGAGGCATGAATTTTTAACTTGTTAGGTGAAAAGAGTACAATATTCATAAGAGTGATCTCTTTTATCACTCTGCACGAAGTAAAATTGTTTCCTGTAGCACCACATTTGGGAAAACAAGATGACAAATAAAAGAGAAAAAAACGATGATGGAGAGGGAGATATGTTTAAAATTATCTTAAGGGGCAGCTGGCTGCCGTGGTTCGTAGAGCATGTGACTCTTGATCTTGGGGTCATGAGTTCAAGACCCACGTTTGGTGTAGAGATTACTTTAAAAAAAAAGTATGTGAAATTATCTTAAGACTAAATATATGAGTAGGACGTAGGCAATAAGCAGACTCAAACCGATGAAATAAGGAGTGGTTATCTGTATTTGGGTGACTCCAGCTTTCATCTCTGCAGTGAATTTGAACACCTGAAAAACCACGGGTTTTGGTGTCATTATGAATACACTTCGGCTGACACTGCCCTTATGTACCCCTGTATCATAAGCTAATTTAGAACATAACAATAATCTCCTACTCATCCCCCAAAATACTAAATTCTTATAGAATGGATTTTGCTTTTTTGTTAGTATAGTTCCAAGAGGTTTATATGAAAAAAGAGTAGAATTTTAACAGATCTGCTCAATTAATGAGACATTATCTAAAACGTGACCATGAAGGGTACAGTCAGAGCTTCAGTAGATGTTCAGTGTGGATGAATAGCTCATCTAACTACATGAGTAGTTATACATCTATCAACTCAGAAATTATTAGATGACAAAAAACACTCAAGATTGTTAATGGAGACTGATGAACATGCACTTCCTTTCCCCACCAAGGACTCCATGTTCTAGCTCAAAAACAGTGACAGGAAGGGAGCAATACAATGGGAAATAATCATTTAAAATCTTGTTGTTTTTTTAATTTAAAGGAAAAAATCCTGTTGCTCTTGAAAAATACATATTTTTAACATCAGACAGGTGATATCTACATGAAATTTGAGTGGGCTTGCTTGTTACAAGCTTTCTCTCAAATTGTAGAAGACAGAGGTGGCCCAGCTCACTTTCAACATTGAGCTCAAAATTTCTATCTACATCCTAATATTTCTCTGAGAATTCTGTTTTACTCTTGCTCCTTGTCTGTACTCAAACTTTCATTTTAATAGGTTTTGAAAAGATCTAGAATAGAAGCTTTCCCTGCTCCTTATGGCTGTGTGACCCTATGCCAGCTATTAAAGCTGTCCTGACTTTGATATTTTTTCTCCCTGTAGAGCTGTAATGAGAACTATATAAGATAAAGTATGTGAGGGGCACCTGGGTGGCTCAGTCAGTTAAGCATCTGCCTTCGGCTCAGATCATGATTCCAGGGTCCTGGGATAAAGCCCCTCTCCCCTGGAGTCATCAGGCTCCCTGCTCAGTGAGGAGTCTGCTTCTCCCTCTGCCTCTACCCCACCACCCCACCCCACCCCCGCTGTGTACTCTCTTGCTATCTCTTTCTCTCTCAAATAAATAAAATTTTTTTTTAAAAAAAAGATAAAGTATGTGAACTGTTTAGCACATTGCCTATTATAGTAAGCCCTCAAGAAATGAAAACTAGTATTAAAACAACTATTATTGTCGTATATGATAGAAGGTGGGAAATAATATTACAGAGTCTCTACTCTTTATTGATCAAAAATACCTATGTCAAAGGTAATTACTTCTTTAAAATCCACAGGACCTTAGGGAATAAACTAAAGACTTCTTAACCCCAAGGGCTGAATGAAGGGTCTGCTTATAAAATTGCTTAGATTCACAATATATTCAGTCCTAATACCATTTTCTCCAGGATATATTTAAATAAATAGAGGGGTGTGTGATTGTCCCAGTCAGTAAAACATATAACTCTTAATCTCAGGGTCGTGAGCTCAAGCCCCAAGTTGGCCATGGAACCTACTAAAATAATAATAATAAAAAAATAAAATAAGATTAAAAAAAAAAAGGGCACCTGGCTGGCTCAGTCGGTGGAGCATTCGACTCCTGATCTCGGGGTTGTGAGTTCAAGTCCCACGTTAGGTGTAGAGATTACTTAAAAATTAGATCTCAAAAAAAAAAAAAAGATAGATAGATAGATAGACAGATAGATATGTGTATTGCATATCTTCAGACCACTAGTAGAAATGTCTAAAAACGAGAATGTACTAACTACCAAGCAGATAAAATAGGAAAGGAAGTTAATTTATCATTAAGTGACTTAGATACATAAGGTAACTATCTTGTAGGACAACAGGCAACGTTTTCCCAAAATACATTTTCAAAGATACAATTAAATAGCATTGACTTGAAACAGTATGTTGTACAATGTACCTAACTTACATGTTTGTTCATTCAGTCATCCAATGGATATATATTGAGTGCCTGTTATGTGCCAAGTGTTTGGGATACATCAGGGAACAAAACAAAGTTCTCTAACCATTAAAAACAGAAATAGAAAAGGTTTATTGGCAGACTTGGAGCCAAGATAAATACCTTTTTAAATTTTTGTTTTGTTTTCTCTTTGTTACTGTGCTATGTTCAAGCTATGGCTCATATTCTTACAAAATATAAAAAGGTTGACAACTCTAGCTGTTGATATCCTAGAGAGCTTACCGCTTCAGAATTTTATAAAAAGAATATGAAAAGGAAGATTAGTTAAAAGGTGACTCCTTGTTAATGGTCACTACTTACATAACTATTCTAGAGACTTGTACAAAAAAAGAACTTACAAGTTCTGGTCCCCAAACTACTCTATAAAAACATAAGCAAAATGTGAGCTGTAGCTAAAACTAGCACATAAGAGAGACACAGTCTTTTCACAATGTTTAGGTATATGTGGTGTAAATGTATATATGTATGTATACATATATTTATGTAGGCAAATAGTGTGTATATGTGTGTGCATGTATGTTAGATCACACAAGTATGACCAGTATTGTGTTAGAGTGTATGGAGGAGAGCTCATAAGAGGAGCAATTAACAAGAGTTGAGTGTTTTGAGTTTTGATGTAAGACCTGAGACCTGAAGTTTAATAGGAATCAACATAACATGGGTAAGGGTATTCCGTCTGGAGAAAAAAAAAACAGTGCCAAAAAGGAACAGAAGGAAGAAAGAACATGACATATTCTGAGAACTGAAAAAAATGCAGAATGACCATAGAGGCAAGAAAGAAGGGGGAAAGGCAAGAAAAGGTAAAGGAATGAGAGTAGTAGGAAAGATGGGTGGTTGGCTGGAGATGTCCTCATCTTGGACATCTCAGTCAGTGAGATGGAGCTGATTGAACTACCCACAAGTAGTTGATAATCAGCCAATAAATATCAGTTAGCATAATTTTCCTGGGCCCTGCCAAGTTGATATTTATAGGCATTATCTAAGTATTAGAAGACCAAAAGCACCAAAGCCATTTCAGTGAAAACTCCCATCAAGACCACATTAATATATTTTTTTAAAAAAAGAAACATTATAAGGTAATTATAACAAGTTTTTCTGAATTAGTTCCTCAACACTTTAAGTTGTCATGAGATTCTGAAAGACTTGAAGACAGGAACTACTATTAATGAGTCAAACTGCTAATCACCCCTAAACAAATACCTTCGTGGTATTTAATGCACCAAGTAAGGAAGTTATGAAAATAACTGATACCAATTTAGTCCTTTTAGCATAATTTGTAGGAGATAGATGGATTAGTGGGGAAGATCTGTGTTTCCTTCTTTCCTTCTCTGGACAGCACCCTGATCCACTGATTAGACAGCTGAGGAAGGCACATCTCCATTCATTCTATGACTATTCCAGCATATGTGTGGGACAAGTTGTCTGCATCAACTTCCCTAGCATGGATTTCTTTACTGGCACCTTCTTTCAGAATATTATTCTTTTTGTTCTTCTCTTCCCTTTTCTGAGCCAGGGGTAACTCCCAACATTTATTAGAACATCTAATCCTTTTCCCCCTATCTTCACACTCTCCGTAATATATTATTTGATTGACAATATGTTTAGCAGAGTTTTTTCATTTTTATTTAGCAATATTTTCATATTATTCACCACCTCCTTAATGGATGTGTCTATGTGTCACCTTCAGAATTATTAATTCTGATAATAAAGTTTATGATAAATAAGTTAGTGTACCTAACATTTTATTTTTATAAAGATTTCTTTATTTATGAGAGAGAGAAAGAGAGAGAGATAGAACATGCACAAGTGGGGGAAGAGGCAGAGGGAGAAGGAGAGGATCTCAAGCAGACTCCCTGATGATTGCAGAGCCCAATGTGCGGCTTGATCCCAGGACCCTGAGACCGTGACCTAAGCCAAAATCAAGAGTCAGATGCTTAACTGACTGAGCCACCCGGGGCCCCTGTACATAACATTAATGTTACAGTGTACCAGATTTCATGCTAGATGCTGATAGAAATATTGCTGTAACTAGAACTTTTCTTCCCATTAGTTCCCACTTTTCTTTTCTGAAGAAGGTAGTATCAGGAAAACATGTCAATATTATGATACGATATTAAAAAATTTAAACTATCTCAGTGTGTGTTTATATCAACATGTACAATGTTATTCAAAATAACAATTTTATTATATTTATTCTACTGTGCTTACCAAGGCGGAAAAGTAACCTGCTACTCAGCGTGTGGTCCATAGACCAGCCCCATTGGCATCATCCAGTTGCTGATTAGAAAATGCAGAACTTCTTATCCCATCCCAGACCTACTGAATCAAATATGCACTTTAACAAAATTCCCAGGTGACTGTATAATACTAAAGTTTAAGATTGCTTCAGAATGCTTTTTTTTTTTTTAAGATTTTATTTTTAAGTAATCTCTACACCCAACATGGGCTAAA